ACCAAATGATCCTGCAGGTCCCTTCCAACCTGGTGTTCTGTGATTACTGTGAGCGTGCAAAGGCACGCTGTCCAAAAATTGAGCTCAAGGTGTGTGGGGACACAAGCGAGCAGTTACTGAGAGAATGGATTTCTATGGGGCTGCTGATAGCTGACTTCATTCTTCCTGCTGTTTTTCCAGCCTACCATTCAGCTTGTTTCCAGCCCAGTGCTTGCAGGAATACTAGGAGAAAAAGCTTAGTGTTATCACCCTGCTGCTGTTGGATATTATCATTCACGTGGGATCACTTCAGGGCTGGGAGCCTCCGTGTCAGAACCAGGGTGAAAAGCACTGGGTTTATTTGCTCCTGCTCTGGAGCAGGGGGTGCTTGACCTCACCCTTTGCCTGCCTTGCTCACTGTTCTGCTGCAGCCTGGTGCAAGTTGAAATGAACTCAGGAGTTAAAATGCTTCTTCCTTCAGGCATAAAGCGTTCCCTCGAACCCTTTGAGTAATGCTCTGCCTTGGCAGCATTCTTCTGCCTCTTTTCTGGGTTGGGTCAGATAACTTGCTGCTCCTGAACGGGTGAAATTCTGCTTCTGCACCCTCCCTCCTGCCAGTCCGGATGCACTGTGAGCGGGTTAGTGTGGTGACTCAGCTCCCAGAGCTCCAGTGTTGATGTGGAGAAGGGGAGGGCTTGCAGGGCCCCAGGTGGGAAGGAAGGGGTAAGGGGGGGCCTAAAATGCAAGTCACGTGGGAGTGGACTTGTCCCCTTCAGCTGTAGCACAGCACAAGGTTGGGTGGGCTGGAACATCTCGCTGCCCCTCCGGATGGGTGAAACTGGAATCAAGACCAAGGCGGAAAAGAGGGACAGACAACCTCACACGTGTTTCTGCAGTGTTTTATTTGGCTCTGTGTTGCATCAAACCAGGATATTTATTGCTGGTGTTTGTGCTAACAAAGAATCGCGTGTGCTTCCTTCTCCAGCTGACAGGTTAATGCTTGAGCATACACTACATTTTAAGGAAAAAAAGCTGTGATACGCTTGGAAGCAGGTTCATTTTTAAATGGTTGCAAATCTAGATTAGGTGCGTGTCTCTTCCCGTTGGTCTGTGCAGCAGCTGAAGGATTTGCCTGGAGTGGCAGAAAGATCACAGATAGGTTGGGATCAGCCAACTGCTGGAGACAAACTGAGGGCAGCGGGGCGGGAGGGCTTTTATAATGGAGCACTGGCTCGAGACTAGAATATCTGCATTCAGTTTCTTTTGGCCTCAAGCTCGCTGGGTGACCTTGGTGTATCCTCCCACCTTGAAAGTAAAACAATTCATATTGTAAAATCCCTGTTATTTCCGTTGTGGTGCACTGAGAGGTTGCTGTTGTTCCTGAAAGGTGCAGTAATGGAAGAGGTCTCCCTTGAGTCAGAAACTATCTAAAACCAGCCTATAAATACTGGCCTCTCGTTCCGTGTAACTGATAGTCTGGAGAGGAGGGTGGTCTAGTGCTTACACATAACGTGATGTTTGTTCTCATCTTCAACTTTAGGATTTTGCCATGAAGGTCATCAAATGTACTCATGAACACTGGAGAGCTTTAATAGCGAAGAAAACTGACGGAGGGGGGATCAGCTGGTAGGTTAATGCTTGTGGTCCTGTGCATGTTCCTTTCTCCTAAACAAACAACCTTGAAACTTCCTTTCCTGAGTGGTGCCATGCTTTGTTAGCTGCTGGCTGGCTCTGCAGGCCTTTCCCTTCAACTTGTCAACTCTAACAATGATTCTGAATATTCCATTGTTGTATTTCCCCATACTCCTGGGGGAGAGACTTGGTTTTCACATTCTCATAAGCGACTTGTCTCTTCTAGCACAAATCTGACTGTGTCCGACAGCCCTTTCTGCTGTAGTCAAGAGTGTGCAAAAGCTACTGTGGACGCAGTAAGTACAAATTTCGAGTGTCCTAACCTCAGTGTTAGTATTGAGCAAAATGATACAATTTGTGTGGTACTGTAAACTACCCCCTCTGTCAGAATAGCTCATTATATGCTTGGAATTTTTTAGATGACTGAACACAGCACCTGTTTCTGGTTAAATAGGATGGATGTGGAGCAAGCCAAACGTTCCTCCATAGGCTTCTCCTTGCCCTTAGTCATCTGGGAGATGGAATCTAAAACGGAGTTTGCATGAAGGACTAAACTTCTGAACCATACCTTGGCTGTCAGTTGTTCAGAGAGAGTTTTAAATATTTGGCCTTTCAAGAGCTTCACAGTGCAGGTCACTCTTTGTTAAAAGAAAGTAATTTCTGAGCGCCTTGCAGCCAGGGACTGTGCTTCCTTTGTGATGAAAGGCTTGATGTTCCTGGTGCAGTACTCCTATCCAGCTTCAGGACTTAACTGCATCTCCCTAGGCTTCTGAAGTACTGCTGTTGGCAACTTGAAAGGGGTTAGAGCAGGGGGACAGAAAAATCAAAATGCAAATGTTGCCTCAGTGTATGGAAATGTGACTGGAAACCAGAGTCTCACTGTATCCTTGGCGAGACTTTTTTTTTTAAGCCACTTGGTTTAAAAAGTGCTTGTGTCCTCTGGTGGTATCCAAATTACTTTGTAGGCTTTTGGAAGTGCAACCCCAGTTGAGGATGTGTCACCAGCTGGGGGACCCTTGTCTGTCTTCAGTTGTTAAATATCAGGTGGAAGCTCTTCAGAGAAGTTTTCTGAGAACCCTTTGTACTTCTATTCCACTGTCACACTGTAGGTTTTTAAAAAAACAGGCTGCCTGGAGCTGTGTAGACGCTGGAGCGGTAACTGCTTGTGGTGAGAAGCAGATGGCACTGCAGCCTGTGCTTAGAGCAGAGCACCTCTGGCACGTAGGACATCTGCGGAATGAGGAGCTGTGGGGATGAAGGGACTCGTGCTGCACGTCAGCTCGTTATTCCCTTGCAGCTGACCAGCACTGGCTGCCACAGACCAATTTATGCTGCTTAGATCTTAAACTGTGTTCAGTAAAGACTTGGGCAGCTCTAAACGCTGTCTAGTAAGCTTCAGGTATAAGGTCAACCTCTGTCAACAGCTGCTGTCTGCTAATACACTTCTCGTTTCAGGCACCACCCTGTAAAGCTGCCAACCCAATCCCACCTGAAGGTATGTTTCAGAGCCCACGTTTACTTTGCGATACTGAGTGGAGGCTTCCTCAAGGGAGTTATCAGTAGGAAAATGAGGGTCTTAACTGATAGCTGGGTCTGGCTCTAGCACTAGGAGAAACAAAGGGCCTTATTGGACCTAACTCCTGTCAGTAATGCTGTTTAATTCCTGAGTAACATCTGCTGTTGCCTTACTTCCTTGTTTGGGTACATGAGGCAGGTAAATAAGTGGTAAGCAGAGACTTGATGTGCTGTAGTTTTCTCCAGAAGAGCTTAGATTTATAGCAGGTCCTGAAAAAAGAGCACTGGAGAGGACTGAAATGCAGTGATAGCAGGAGAGCAGTTTCATTAGATCTGGAAAAACTGGGGTTTCATCAGGATCCTCAGTGCAGGTGAGCTGAGGAAGGGAAGTACTCCCTGCCCACCCAGAGCAGAGGCAGAAAGCAGTTGTGTGTTTGGTACTTCGGTTGCAGCTGAACCACTGATCAGAGATTTGTCCCTGAACAAGTGGCCACTGCAAGCTGGTAATGAGCTTTTTGATGCCTCGAGACTTGACTCTGTAAGACAACAGCAGTTGTGGGAGGAATCCTGGCTTGGCTGTCGTCTCCTGCTGTGTGAGGTGGCAATGGACACTTTGCACGTGAAATCTGGACGTTGCTGTAGTGGGGACAAGACCCAAGCGTTGAGCTAATGATGGTGTTGAGAACCCAAAGCTGTGTGGCAGAAAGAGGAGCTAGGCTGCTGTTTTCCAATCTCCTGGGTAATAAATCTGTGGAGAACTTTGTCTTCCATGCAGGCATGAGAGGTAGAGGTAAAATGACTTTACCTTCGAGTCAGCTGAGCCCGAGGGAAGCTGAGCAGGCTCTGGCTTGCTGTCCTCGCCTGAACTGAGTCATGCATGGATGTTCCTAATGGCAGCCTGAGTGAGGATGACTTCAGGAAAACACAAACAGGGCAACACAAGAACCTGTTTGCTGTGTGGTGGGGTTGTTGACAGGAGCCAGAGGAAGCCCCAGCGCTGGGGGGTGATGCCTGTGGTGCCCTGGGACTGCTTAATAAGTGGGTGGCTAACAGAGGACTTAACCTCCTCTTTTTTTTTTTTTCTGCCCCACATAGTTGACAAGTGGTTCTACTACCAGAAAAACTAAGGCCTGAGGATGGGGAGCAAGACAGCAGTGTCTTTCCATGGAGGAGTTGCCACACACAGGAATAGAGCAGAAAAATAGCTTCAGTGTCAACAAGAAGACCTTGCCTGTAACTTTGTTGATTAGAATTACATACCTAGCAGTGATGTGTCTGCTGCTTCAAGGTCCTGTGGAGGCTGGAAGACATAATTTATAAAATCAAAACACCCTGCTTGTGCGTGGTCATACCGTGTACTTTGTAAATCGCGACAGACGATCGCTCACCTGGTACGTGTGTGGATGCTAGAAATAAAAACTACTGAAAGCGAATGCTGCAGGGCTCCCTCTCCTTTCCCTCCCTGTCCTGGAGCCCCTGGCTCTGTGCTGGGGGCTGTCAGCGCCCAGGGTTCTTTTGGGGGGATTAGGTGACAATTTATCGGGTAATGCAGTGCCCTATCCCGCCGTCTGACTTGGGGTGGGCAGACCCGCCCAGGGCCGGCCTCGACCCCGCAGACCACGGGAGGGGGGTGGCGGCCCCGACCCCGCGTCCTGTGGGGCGGCCCCGCCCGGGGGCGGTCTCGAAC